TTTGACGGCTCGTTTGGATAGAGGTAGAAAATAGATTGGAATGTTGACAGCAGAGGGAAAATATAGAATTCATATACATCAGTGTTCGTTGACCTGGAAAAAGTCTTCGACTCAGTTGACAGCGGAGCTCAGATGGGTTCCCTTGTTCGAAAAGGAATGCCCCAGAAATACGTTAACCTACTGAGGTCGCTATACCCACACACCTCCAGTCGTGTTTGTACAACCATTAACCATGCACTTTCATGCGCCGGTTTTAGTTGCCGCTTTTTTCTGGCTGCCCATTTGGGTGAAGATTAGGAGAAAAACAGGAAAGGCTGAAAGTAGGATCAAAGAGAAAATTTATAATTTCAGTGGGCGAATGTTTCAGAGAAACTGAGATGTATGAACGCCACTGTTTATGACACTCAACCATATTACTGTCTCTAACCATCGGGTACGATCATCCCGAAGTCCTCAACCAGGGAGCCTAACGGGACCTATGTGACCCAGTCCGCTGGTCAGGGATTTCATACCCTCGTGCCAGGCCTTAGCTTGACCACCCTTGGCCTTTTTACACTCGGTGTCTGCTTGGCCGCCAATTACTTTCTTCACAGACTACCTGCCTTGGCGAACATCGCTCCGCCGTGGCAACCTACTTGGTGACATGCCTAACACATGCCCCAACCAAGATAATCTATGGAGGTCGACCACTTGTTCCAGTGGGCGACCGCGGTTGCCTGAAACTGCGCCAGCATTGATCGTCTGGCTGCCCCACCAGAATCGTGCAATGCTGAGTAGAAACCGGTGTTCGAACACCAACAGTTTATCCTCATCCTGTTTTCTTAATGGTCAAGTTTCTGCACCGTATTGCAGAACTGATCGAACTGTTGCAGTATATACTTGACTCGTCATGGATAGCCGGATGTCGCGATGGCGCCACAGATGCTTCAATATGACAAATGCCAACCGAGCCTTATGCATGCGAGCTGACACTTCATCCGTGATGCGTTCACCAGGTGAGATGTAGCTGCCCAAATAACACAAATGATTCACTTGCTCTATTACTTCCTCGGTTAGAGTGAGACGGGGTGTTGGAGTACCACTTCACACTTTGAAGGTGCAAAAAGCACACCGAACATGGCTACCTTGGGGTTCAAGCTGTCCAGAAAAGCTTGCAACTTACCTGGATCTTCATTTAGCAGTACAACGTCGTCTGCATACTCCAGATCAGAGATTCTGCGCTCTGAAAATAAATCGATGACACTATTCGCGCACGAGGATAGAGCTGTTTCCATGGTCAAAAATATAACAAAGTTAAATGGAAAAGGAGAGGGCAACCCTGTCAAACACCACTTTCCATGATAAACTCCGGTGAAAGTGCCGTAAGCTCGGATTCGGCTATTAGTATAAAGGAATTGTGACATCGAAATTAACTTCTGGGGCACATATTTCAAAGAAAGACAGCGCCACAGTTCAGAGCCGCCGACTGAGTCGAAAGCCGCTCTCAGATCCAGGAAGACCGAGATGGTGGGTCTACAAAGCGAGTTTCCGTGTTCTAGAATTTGACGAAGAGTTAAGATGTGGTTGATACAACCCCTCTCACGCTACCCAACTTTGGTGGTAGACGGCTTTGCCGTCATCGGTTCAATACCACACCTAACCTCGCGTTGCCTTATGTGGTTAGTCGTGTGGTTTAGATTACCGGTTTCCATCACCAAATAGCAGATATTTGCGACTATGGGGTCCACGTGTTTTGCTGTTTATCACAAGTGTGTGTAAGTGCCGTGAGGTACTACTCACAAAATGGTGTACAAAATAGTTGGTTTCTTTCGACGATCAAAAATTAACAAGACCACGGAGGGAAAATTACTGGGATTCAAAGATTAACTACCGATTCCTACATTCATTATCCGGTGTGCTGCCAGGAACTGTGATGGTATGTTCCAGATGAGATTTCTGTGTTAAGCCGAATAAGTGATGCCCCAACTGTAATCTACAATAAACATTTTCCCTCGACCGAGCATGGTCTTGTGGAATTATAACAATGGTAATACCAGAACACCGATCGCAGTCAAACANAAGGGCCGAGATGCGATCCCAGCATTAAGCTTGCTAAGACAGGTTGTGCTGTATCGTGTGTAAGGAAAATGAAAAAACGGTCTAAACAACTGCCAGGTGGCCGAGTAGTAAGTATGCTTGCGTTCTACTGGTGAGGTCCCAGGTTCGATCCCCAGCTGGGTCGATGAATTAACAATAGTAAAACCAAAACACCGATCGCAGTCAAACATGTTTTCAGCCCGCTCGCTCCCAAGCCGCAACAACCACATTTATGCAACGAAATTGCGGAAGGGTCTTGTGCCGGGATCAAAACAGTAATATCCGTGAAAAAATTCGGAGGATACAGTTCACATGCGTTGGAATCTTTATTATTAAACACTTTCGTGTGATGAACAGCAGATGGGGAAAGCCCCATGCTCATGAGGACCTACTGTTTCGTGATAGAAACCGGTAACCTAGGCCCCGGGGCTTGGAGTGATGAACCACAAGGCCCCGATAGTCTAGGCGTGGTGTTGAACCGGACAACAGCAAAACTGACTACCTAGACCGTGCTAACCAAACCACAGTGCAATTATCTTTACAACAAAGAGAAAGTTACTTGATTCGTTTATGAACGAAATACTGCCAGGTAGCTATGCCAAGGCAGGTGGATTTCTTGAGAAAATCACAACCAGCCAGCGTCCAAGGTTCCCAATACACCTCGATGCCCAATTGAGCCGCTAACCATTACCACAACTAGGAAAGTGTTTCATATGCCTCTTCTTGGTTAGTTGGGAATCAGGGTTTTTAGCCAACTCCCTTAGGTGAACTGTCAGTGGTTCACCAACCCGGTTATAGCCCCGGATATCGCCTTTTCTCTGTACACAAGTGTTCCCGTAAAAGAGTTTAGATCTTTCACATTTTTTGCTGATATCTGATATCACACTAGGAGAACGAACTTCTTAAACCCCATCAGAAATTATTACTGGTGTAGAAATTTGTCCATTGTCAACTTTATTTACTTTCAAACACGATTCGTACAGACAAACCAATAATGTTGCCATGGGATCT